ATCTATAAAAGAGAAAGTATGTATGTATATACCCTATGGACTCCGAAACCACTCGACAGATTGTAATGAAACTTTCAGGCATTAAGTATTCAACGATGGTTTGGTGCAGATCCGTCAAAAGGACTCTACCCCAGAGGGTATATAAAGGGGTCCAATGTCAGACTTTTGGAGCTACAATGTTCACAAATAAATATATTTAAAAGCAGATGTTTACTTTCACCAACTGTTTTGAAGGTTTAGATAAACATTCTCTATTAGTCATTTCATTTCATTTAATTTATTTCAACGGCAAAATTGCCAATTTATACATGGACAATTCAAAATATAAATTTCACAAGCAAAGGCAAAGAACAATAATTTAACAATCAACAAAAGAAACAATAACAGATCAGTCAACGAGAAATATCAATACATGCAATAACAATGAAAAAAAGAAACAAGAACAAAAACAGAACAATAAATACAATAAATTAATTTACAATGCAATAACAAACACTAACAAGATCTAAGCAAACAGAAACAGTGAGTTTTCCATTCTAGGCAGCAACAATATGTAGTAAAGCAATAAGTCATGATTTGAAATAGTGCCACACTGTTTCCACAGAATGCAGCACAGAAAACTATTTTACTTTTGGATAAGTCTAAATATATTAAACCCCAATCGCAGCACACCTGTGCACTTAACAACGTTTAAATTATCCACTATTAAATATGTAAACATAAAAAGCAAAAACCTTTATCAAAGTATTATAAAATGAAAAGGGATGGCAATGCCTTAGTATTTTTTTATATTTTGTTCTATACCCACACATTCTTACAAAAAATATTAAGTGAATAATAATCGTGCGTGCTATCTCAGGTATTCAAATACCTCCAAATTTGTCATTAGCCCACCACATTACTGCCATTAAAAGAAGGAACTCCAATAATACTAATGCGAAAATTAAATCCACCCAAGCTGTGCAACGGAACCAGAATGACGATTTTAAAAATGACACCAAACTTGATCGAAGCAACAATCATCAGTGGTAAGTTTAAAGGAGAAATAGTCTTAATCCCAAGAATACCGATGATTTCAACCGAATTACCCTTTGAATTCAAGCGACTACAATTTCTTTTGCGTCTTACTTTCGCAATCACCAGGCACAAGGGCAATCCCTGACTATCGCCGTTTTAAATTAAGGAAATGCGTGCTTTTCACACGGGCAGCTGCATGTTGCGTGCTCACGTGGTGGTAGGTACGGCTAAACACTATATATTTATACACATAATGAAAAACGAAAAACATTGTTTATCCACTGGCAATTAAGTAAAATAAATATTCTATTTTTGCTTTTGGCATCTTTTTTTATTATTTATCGTAAAGAACAAATAACCATTTAAAATAACCGTTGTTAGCGCAGCAACGCGCGCCGGGTACCTGCTAGTAATTTTATAAACGCAGTTTTTAGTATCCACACAAATAACATCTCTGTAGATGTCATTAAACCAAATCAAAGTATATTTCTTATTTCCATATAATATTATAGTGCCAAACACTTAAAAATTCTAATTGGATGTTTTGCTGACAATTATTTCGCCTGGTCTCAGTTCAAGGTCCACGCTTATTAGAGTTAAGCCTCCATTGCCGTCCTCATATCCTTGCCGATCTCACGTAACCCGATACCTTTTACCAGGGAAAGTTCAAGTCACATAGAAACGCTGTGAGTAAATCTGTGAGGGGCGGCGAGGGGACATTGTAAGATACGACCGCTGTCCTAGCTACAAGGTCTGGGGCACGGACCGATACCCCACACTTATACAGCGTCCGGTATATCGTTACACAAAAGATCGGCACGACAATGTTGCCCGCTCGCTGTATCGCGGGATAGTTTATTTCAGTGGGCGCGCCTGGGCGGAACATCGTCATGAAAGTCGCCAAGGATCACCACAACACTTGCCGATCACGAGACAGGACTGGCTATGAATTCAGATGTAGATAAGAAATAGAAACTTTAGATTGTAGCCTTAAAACTAACGATATCGATGAACGGTGTTGTAAACAAAGTCCAATACGCTAACTGTTGTGGTAGCAACACGATTCTGTAATACAATTCAAATGAAAACGACTTTGACTCTCCGTTTAACCACACAAGCAAAATTAGAATACAATCTTTGTTGCCTTTTACGATCGGCAGTGTCAAGCTTGTTCATTATATTCCATGTAAATTTTCCCTAGAACCAAAAACAATGACAATCATACACTTTATGAAAACATGTATCATTTATGTTGTTGTCTTTAACAAAATCTTCTTCCACACATTGAAATCGAGACATGTACCAGTATCCGTCACAACAAAAACACCTTTACATTGAATTGTACAAGATACCTTGAAAAGCTGCCATAAGTCGAACAACTGAGAGAATATCCATTTTAATTAGAGTTATACTAAAGTCTAATTGAAAATTGTAGCTTTGTTACCATGGGAAGAATTTAGATCTTACTAGAATTAGATCATTAACTTAAATGGTTTAGCAGAATCTAAACATTTATGGTCAATTGATTTACAAAATATGCTAAAGAAGTTAACAATACTTGCAATGGTAGATAGACGCAATAGTAGAGTAGGCCAAGTTCGTTAAAAGAATTTAAGTTATAAAACACCACCTCAAGTGCAAGGCAGAGGACTAACACAAGGAGAAATTGAGATATTGTAGAAATCGCATAGCAATTCTACATGGAAAATAAAGTTGCATTGGTCGCACTCGCATTTCGTACACAAAAGGTGTTGTAAATGTATGTAACAAATCGATTAGAGCGTTTCAAAATCTGACAAGGTACACCATTACGTGCCTAAAAAGTCTAAACCTCCATCCCACAGAATAAATGTGCTAACATCGTAGCTTAAACTCCAATTTGAGATTAGTCTAAACAAAATATAGATATCTCCATCCCTAAACCACTTTCACTTCATTACAAACTATAATTTACAACGGTTTTGTTAATGGGGGCTATCAACTCACGTTAATTGCTCGGAAGTGTTAATTTAGTGTTAATGCTTTCGCCAAGTTACGGCCTTCTGATTAGGAAGGACTGGTTCGATTTACATCTCCAGTAGCCCATAAAATCGCACATCCGCCTCGCATAATCAGTTTATAATGACTACTAGTGCAACGTATGTTGACCTCAGTATGGTCATATTTGTAATGTTACAAAACGATTTAACCTAAAGTTTTCCTAAATAAAAAACGGAACACAATATATATTTCGAAACTTCGGGGCTTTAAATGTCAACCTTAATACAACTACTTCAATGTTTTTAAATCGTTGCTTTACAAAAGCTAAACAATGCTTTGTTAGCTTCTAAATTATGTCACAACATACTATAAGTGCATAATAGTATAACCTTTCTTCATAATATGAAATGACTACGTTCAAAATATCAACCATATAAATCTATTTAGGATGAATATTCTTGTGTACAAGATTGAATTGTAGATTGAGTTGTACATATTTAATTTATCTCACTGGAACAATTATAAGGATATTTATTTTTCAAATATTGATTTTTACTAAATAGTGTAAAGCAACTTCACTACGCTCACCGTACCATTTTTTTTTCAACTAATTGATTCTAAATAAGTCCATAAAAATACAGAAATATTAATTTCAAATCCGTATTGACATTAGCAAAAAATCGAAAATCAATAAGGCATGATATGCCAACAAGTTAAGTAAGTATAATAAATTGCAAACGGGTCATTACCTAAGCCTATAAGAATTACGGTGATCATAAAACTCCAAACAGGTTATAGTAACAAAACTGAAATCATTATGGACGATATACTGTATGTGAATATGAATAAGTTTTAAAATTTCCCCATGATAAACCTTTTTTAAGAACATTTCTAATCGTCTCTCGGTTAACGTGTCTTTCGTTACTGTGTTTATGATAATGTTTTTTTCGTTAAATGTCATGTTTTTTTAATTGTACATAGCACCTAGTCTGTAATATGGACCTTAACTTTTGCAAATTATTTTTACTGTACACATTGTTTTTTTAATTAAACCAGGGATTCCATTTTAACGATACATTTACAGTCTTTTTACATCCTTCTTCTGAAGGGAAGAAGCCGAGAAACTGAGTTTTTTAACTACCCTCTCTACGTTAAAGCTAGTTTCTCTTTCGATAGAAGATCGTCCTTGGAGAAATTTCGCCACCCTTTCTTTAACCCTTTGTGAGGTTTTTTAGCCATAAAAAGAGAAATCGGCAAGGTGGTGCGCGGGAATCCCTTTATTCACCGGGACCAGAACGACGCGGTGACCGGCGAAATCGTCGATGCTTTCAGCCAAACATCTGTCCAGGCCCGGTCAAAACTCTCTAGTCTTCTGTGTGTTATTGCCATGAAACACAGTAATATTACACTCGAAGATCTAATCTGTTTAAGGACGTTTTGAGAACTGTAAATAGGTGTTACAACTCCGTGCTATAGGAATTGATTAAGATTTAAGATATGTAAAAGAAAACATGTGTAATAGCTCCCTTTGAGTCATGAATTTGAGTATAAAGTGGATAATAGTTTCATTTTATAGTAGGCCTATACAATTTTGTTGAAACTCAATGAACATTTTTTTATATATTTTTTCATCATTCAAGTCAACGAAATGTAACATATTTTTAGAAATTTGTTGCTATAAAAATGTGTTGTCAATGATATTCAATGATAACTAGTTCGTTAAAACTGACTTGCATGGACATTTTGCATGGTCTGTGGAATTAGTAATGTTATCATGTCTAGTAACTACTTTCTTGATTATTTGTGCACCATGATTATTATGTTTGGTTGCATGCAATTTAGAATACTAATTATAGGGCTTGGTATATCACCAATTTGGTGTGTATACATTTATCCAATGATGCAATGATTTAATGATGTGTTTTAATAACAGCAATGTGATTTAGTACATAAGATAGATGTAAGACCCCACTTGTTTACGGAAAAGTATTAATCACTAACAGGCCTGTTGGTTTCAGGTCCGAATGGGTGTCCGAGGCGGAGGGGGAGACAGACCTACACTCGCTTCCAGACCCTGGAGCTGGAGAAGGAGTTCCACTTCAACCACTACCTGACGAGGAGACGGAGGATCGAGATCGCCCACGCTCTCTGCTTGACGGAGAGGCAGATCAAGATCTGGTTCCAGAACAGGAGGATGAAGTTGAAGAAAGAGCTGAGAGCGGTGAAGGAGATCAACGAGCAAGCCAGGAGGGAAAGAGAAGAACAGGATAGAATGAAACAGGAGAAGCAAGCGAAAATGGCGGCGGAACAGCAACAACATCACCACCACCAAGGTTCGCTGCACGATCCTCACAAGATGATGTCTGGCCTAGACAAAACTTCAGGGGCGGACCTTCTCAAAGCGGTGGTCACCAAGGTGCAAACGTAAGCCCCACAGACTCTGCGCGAGTGGCGAGTGACGAGTGATGTGATGCTGTTGCGACCGATATTACCAGTATTCTCGGACTCGGATACGTATACGAGGCAATAAAATTGAAATTTGGGATTTCCAGCAGAGCGAGGCTGGTGGTTCACGTCCATGGTTGTTGTACTTAGCCTACATCGGTCGTTCCCGTTTTTGTTAGGCCAGTGTTAGTTTGTCGGACGTTCTGTTTTGTGTTGCTCGTTTGTTGAGTTTTGGATTGTTTCCGGTTAGTTCGGATGGCCGAAGTCACTGTTTTATTTTATGGCGTTTCGCAAAAAGAGAATTACTCCAGTGCCTTCGTTTTGGAAATACGTAATCTATCTAAATTGCCATTTTGGAGGTTCTATTGTTTTCGAGGCCTAACGAAACCATCTATACGTAAAATTAAGTATAAATTCGAAAATACGTACTAGTGGTATATCCGAAAGAGATATTTTTGAAATCTTTTTGACGCTTGCAGTTCTGACCGTAAAATGTATAGCTACATATACTTCTTACTATCTTAAGAGCTATTTTACTTTCGTTTGCTCACCTTTAATGTTATTTGTAATTATATAAAAAACTCTGTTTATTATACGTTTACTGTTCATTTGTACATCACGTATTTTCGAGCGAAATGCTATTTGTAAGTTTTGTTTTGTTTATAGTTATAGTTTAATATTCGGATGTTGCCATAATTTTAGCATTTTGTTCAGTTGTGTTATGGATTTGTTAAAAGTATGATCTTGAGCTTTAATCATATTGACTGTTATTTTAACATTTTTTATGTTTGTTTTTCTTTGATTTTGTTATTTCGAAGAATTTAGTTGCTTTCCATAACCAGGCGTGACAGCGTTTTTATTGTTGGATAATATCTATTGTTTACATTAGGTATTTGTGTAACACACAAAAATGAATTGTTTAATTGAGGCATAGCTGCTGACACAAATACTGTATTGAATATCTATATAGAATGTCATTACATGATTAAATCTGCGATATATTAGCTTCACTAAGTATTACATTTAACATTTATCGAACTTAAGTATATTTAATCTAAAACTATTTAATATTTTTGTATCTGTAAGAATTTTACATAATACCACTCCAACTGATCCAACAGTCGAAATCCTTTGTTTTAACGATTTCCTGAGTTCCTCCACGGCTAAAAAGCACATTTAAGCAATATTTCTAAAAGTTGCCGGTTTCGCCACCCTCCCTCCCCACCTGAATCAATACTCGAATAACAATGATGTGCCAAGCCAAGCCCAGCGTTGCCACGTCTCCGTGATTTTCGCTCTCGCAAATTCCAAAATATGTTTGAACCGTAGTCAGTAATTAATCGAAGCTAGTGAAATCGTTTTGGAATAGAAGACCTTAACAATGTAATCCTATACGTAAAGGTGGCAGGGTCGAGCGAGTGTGTGTGAGTATTTTTATGTTTCAGCGAGTTACTTACTGTGTGTTTGAATTGAGAGTTTTGACTGTGTGAGAGCGTGTGTATGTGTAAATTAGCGTATTTGTACATTATGCGACATGTGTTTTCAGTGTTAGATAATTATTATTTCTTCTACTAATCTATGTACGACTGTATCCACTATTTGTAAGTTTTGTTCCTTGTCAGTACTTTTCAACCCGATCCGTCACTAAATGCTCCTCATTTTGTTCCTATCGAGTAAGCATATGCAGTTGCCTCGTTTGTATATTAACTTTCACGGATACAAACCATTATGTGTAGAAAATATTGTGTAATTTGCGGTTACACATCATTCTAAATCATTCTTATTAACAACTAAAACAATAGTTAGTATGCAATATTTAAGAGTGAATCAACAAAAATTGTCTAATAGACCTTGCCGGTGGTCGTAGCTAACCTGATAAATATTTTAATCGGGATTTCTTTTGATAAAAAAACAAGCAAGTTGAGAGAAGAATTCGGGTAACATTTTGGTTGGTCTAAGATCTAAGACTTTCATTTAAGGAAATTGTTTATTTAAAAGGACCTTCAGAACTTAACAATACTCTTACCTGTCAGAACATTTAAACCAGCAGAATTCAGTTAAAATCCGTGAAGGTTTTGGGTGACAACAATATTGGATACAAGTTATTGATGTACTATATTTTAAATTTGTAGTGCTCAATGAGTATATTTTTATAAAATCAATAATATTCCGTAGCAGACTTCTCAGCTCCGAATTATAATTATATAGTTATTTATAGTAATATGTCTATTGTGCTGTAAATTGCTGAGTTAAACGTGTTTTATATAGTCGTTGTTTGCTTGGAAATAATGGCTGAATATTCAGATATTTATAACATTCAAAACATTTCCACCTAATTCGGTCTTAGTTTTTGAGGAGTAATTTCAATTATAAACTTTTATAGTGGATAAGCAATTTAGGGTAACAAATTATCCTGTATAAATGAACAATATTTTAAACTCAAAAGTAACATTGTAAGAACGGGAATTTCATGTATGAAAGTAGTGATGAATAATTAATTAACCTGATAGGAGCCTATGTTAAAGATTTTGTTGCAATATAAATTAAGAGAACATTTTCTCGAAATTCATATTGTACAATCTTGATGAAAAAGAACATCGCCAATCGATCACCTTTCTGTTTAACATAAGGTGAAGGCACCATCCAAGGAAACAATAAAAACTATATTCTTGAACTAACACGTATTTTTTTATTCAACGTGTTACAAAATTATAAAAAAAAATTGGAAAAATATATTGTACTTATATATGTTCTTATAAGTAACATTTTTTTTACCACTGTATTAAAATTTGACTCAAATGTGTTTTTACATTAAAAACATGTTTTACAGTCAACACCTTATGTAATTTACGATCGTGGTAGTTTCAATCAACTAACCAGTGTCAATCGCAGTTGAAGCAGGTAATGCAGAGTTTAAGTCAAGCATCTTTTCGTCTTATTTATTATATTTCCTCTGTGGCTTTAAGACTAAAAATGTACATACAGTTTAAGAGACAACTGCATTTTGCAAAACATATACAATATGAAATGATTGTGATTGAGTTAGGTAAGAAGAATATGTAATGTAATGTAATGTATAACTTGACTTAATGTACGTTTTTGTCGTGTATGTCGCCCATAGGTAGGCCGTATCTAGTATCGATTAGATAATGTGCGCTCTAGCTTTAACGTTAATCTATTACATGGCAGCTTTTGTAAAATATTGCGTTTTTATTTTGATAGATATGTTTTTATATTACTGACAATGTTGATTTATTTATATATCGTGTCGGTTGACTGTGAGATCTGTTTTTGTTAGTGAGTTTATTTAGACGAATCTATATTCATTTTGTTTGATGCCGTGGGCACAGTGCTATATGACGATTGTTTAAGAATTTTATTATCACTCCCTTATGTCAGTATTTGTCCATAGTTTCTGTATTGTTTGTTTCTTGTGCTATGTATTATTACATCTAGTATCCATTTTTTAGATAAACTGTAGACACATTTCACTGTGTACATACGTTTAGTAAAATGTAAAAAAACTACTGAACTGGTTTCATTTATGTACCTTTGGTGTTATGTTTTAAAATTATGGTTTCCCATAACTATCCAGTGAATATGGGAGTGAATCGTTATTTATATGTGATCCGAACAAAGAAAACCTTTTCAATAATAGAGTTATTGAAATCCAATCATCGGCTGCCTTGTTGTTGATAATCAATCTTGTGTGAATATTGTTCTACTCTGTAGTATAATATATTTTAAATAGCTTTGTTTGATTCATTACTAGAATATCTATACTGTCATGATTGCCATATAGTAATGTATTTTTACCAAGTATTTAAAAACAGCCAAAACAATGATGTCTTTACATCTTTCCTAGCTTGATACTAATAATCGGTAAAATACCAATATGACATATTTCAAATTTTTAAATTGTAACTTAAATGTGAAGTTGTGTGTTCAGTGTTTATTACACTTAGGAATTCTAATGTTTTGAATAATTATTTTATAATTTCAAATTGTTATTTAAATGATTATCACGTATTGTAAAATGTCCGCATTATTCCGCCAAATAACATTGCCAAAAATGTACTTGAAACAAGGAATTTCCTACAACATTCATTGCGACGCATGTAATACGTTTGAGGTATATTTTGAACGTTATATGGGCTAAGAATATTCACAAGATTTATTACGGATACATCTTAAAAGTACTTTTTTTTCTTGTCCTACCTCAAACTAAAAAACATATGAACCTTTACTACAAAATAACAAATAAACACTTCCTTGCCAGCAAACCTACAGACTAAGAGAAAAGTTTAGTTTCATTATTGAAATTACATCATGACTAGTTTGGAATTTTAATGTTTACTTTAATTTTAATATTAGGATCGTACATGGAACGAAATATTTTCCAAATTTGTATAAAGTAACGTTGATAAACAAGCAATCTTAATGATTTTTCTTCTTGCGTGTGAAAAAAGGTACTGCTTCTAGTTTTTTTTTTTTTACATATGTTGGCTACTATTTGATGGAGAATAATAGAGCAGTTATACAGAACAATTTAGTATTATACAATTATCTCCTACGTCTAGATAGGTATTCTGCATTTTTCCTTATAGAGGAAAATAGTTATATAAGATCACTCCTCTGTGTAGATGTAATGTCCATAGAACTTAAATAATCTTTCATTATGCAGTATGATTTTGAAATGTAACCAGAACTGCAAGTTTTCTGTTTGTTTAGTAATTCAATGTTATGTTTGTTTTTAATGTTCACACCCAAATCCGTGATGCTAACGGTAACTACTAGGCCAGCTAGCAACCATACCGATCATATGACTTTTGAGGCAACGCTATTGACTCCTATTTATACATTACAAGAATATATTAAGTATCAGCGAACTAAATCATAAACATGCCTGTAAAAGAAATTTCAAAAATACAACTGTAAATTCTCTCAGTATGCAGGTTTACCAAAACTGGGGTTTTTATGTTTCACGTATATTTTGAAACTCGTCAATGTCATATTTACATGTTACAAGTTAAATTTTGGACGTCGCATTTTAGTTTCACACATTTTCTATAAGTTACATTCAATGACAAGTTGACTTTTTTGTTTGCAAAAAATTAACATCAAAGTCACAAGATATTTTAATTTTAAAATCTATTAAGTACTGTATATTATGAGTCATTAAAAGTTCAAAAAAAAACCCCAATAACATTTTCTTAGTTACTACAACACGAAACATAATCACCAGCCACTCTTCTTTATATTACGATTAATAAAAAAACTGACCAAAATGTTATAAAAACTTATTTTTTCACCAATCGTGATGGTAAATGTCCGCAACAATCTCAAATAATATAAACTCACTGACATGAAGAATTACCTCTTAAAAATACTCTTACTCGCATTACGTAATGGAACCTTTTATAATTATCATACAGATATGAATTGAGTGCAAATTAATCACAGTTTAACGTATTAGTGAACTTATCTTAAAAACAACCCGTTTTTACGGTTTTTGTGGCTTATTTCAAGAGACCACAGTTTAATCAGTTTAATTTGTTTAGATTTCAGTCGCAATATTTACTTGGGTAGAAAATTAGAAATATAATTTTGTGCACTTTTAAACTCTAATGTGGAAAGATAGTTGCGTATACAATTGAACGACACGTGATAGTACAATAACATATGTTGTGATTAAATATACATTAGTCTTAAAAGTTTGATAAGTACACAGTTATTTTAATCTGTTTAAAATAAAAATATTATTAATAAGATTAATCATGTACTCGTATGTATCAATACTATTGGTTAGTATTTTGGTTACCAAGGTGAACATGAACCTGAAAAACTGCCATTTTATTTGTTTTTCTTTTTTGAAATTCATAAAGCTATTATGGTTTTATCTATTTAAAATGGGGGAAATTGTTGTCTACGAAAAGTGAACTCATATTTTGGTACTAAACCGCAATAGTCTACACTCTAAAACTATATACAGCCAAACCTATATATATTTTTTTCATTAAAAAACTAGGTTTGAAAATAATTGGTAAACACCACTTTGGCAATGTGCTCAATCCATGCATTCTGTAAAAAATGACAACCAATTCTTAAACTTTCCTAAGGTTTAAAGGTAAAGTAAATATTTTTGAAATTGAAACGAATTGAAAAATAATTATTTGTTTTCTAGACTATGCATTGTGTATAATTGTGTAGGCGAAAATATTTAACAATTTCAAATATAGTTAGGTTATTTTAGTTTGGATTAAATTAGGTAAAGCCAGCCAAAGAAACAAAAGACTAAAATGTCCTACAACGGCGTATTTTATACTTTCTTGCATACTTGACTCATTTAAGGCAATGTATAGATAATCTACAAGTTTTATAGAATACCCGATTGTATACCTTGGCTCTATATATTTATTAAAGGTTGTAAATATATTTGGATAAAAAATGCTACTAGAGTAACATGTTAAGGCCAAAAAGTAATAGGTTATTTTACATATTTCAAAATACTCGGTATTTGCTAAGCGAATTTGCCTTCCCATTCTTTCCAAATGTATATAACAATGATAAATGTGTCATTAAAGCATATGTCGTGGTAAAGAAGCTATGATTAAATATTTATTTTACCAGTAAATTACTGTAAATAGCTATAGTTTCATATATAACCGCAGAAAACAGTAAGCTTAATTAACAAGTTATAAAGTGGCAATGATACGTTTTTCTATTTAAAAACTTAAATACCTCAAGTCGTTACTGTGACTCCCTACCTTTTTAAAAGAGTGAGGCTTGACCTCTAGGCAAACCAGATATAAAAATCGCCCACCTCATTATTGTACTACTTATAATCAAACTTGGTAGCTTCATGGGGGAAAATCCTGCTAGATGAAGTTGTAACTCCTATAGCTACGTTGACGACCGAAGTTCGTAGGCTACCGAAAGGACGCGCTGCCATGCAGGCATGTATGTAGCCATGCCGCTAATGTATGCCGACGCATCGACGTGACAAGACGGCATTTGCAAGTTAATGCCGCGCGCCCACTTTGTCCTATGCAGATAAATTCAACACAATATAAGGCTGCCTCCAGATACAATGTCATCGACTTTTTGTAGAATAAGTAAAAACTGATTGTGTCGTTTAGGAACGGCCAATGTTATTTTACCAGGCTTGTTTGGTTCGGTGTACATACATGGACTAGAAGTAGTTTATGAGCACTGCCCCCATAAGTAATGGTTGTAGACTAGCTACGTGGACATATTTTAGATAAACTTTCTGACCAAAGAGGTAGTTAACACAATACACTTTGGTATATTTATCTGGTTTTAAGGCTAGAATTCTAATAATGATTGTTAATGAAACCTTTTTCAATCCTTGAAATAACACAATTTATTTTACGCCGCACTACACTATTTTGACGAACTTCCCACGCAAGGATTTAGTCCAGAAAACAGTTGTTTGCCGCCATCTTAATCAAATGGGGTTTCATTGCGTACTACTGTACTGTAATGAGTTTTACCGGACACCAATCAGCTGATTATATTGTATTTGGGTGGCAATGAGTGGTTATAAACAAAAACAGACTAGTGATTTTTAGTCCTTAAGTTGGTGGTAATATATAAGGATTTGTACAGATTTAGTAGTATGGTGTAAACTATCGTACTTAAATCTTCCAAAATGTGTGTACCGAACTCGTATGGTAATCCCGTACTTCCACACTCCAACTTTTTTTAACCCCTTTAACTTACCATTATTTCATCCGAAGCTGTTTCTTAAAACTTTATTTTTGAATTGGAAAATGTAATTAAGAAGAAACAAAAAAAAACACTTATTTTAACATTCAAGGATTTTATAAATGTCCAATGCTACACAGCAACTATGTGTTAAACCCACAACCAACTACACCTCGTTAAATTACACTATATGTATTCAGCAGCTGTCAGAGAAATTTTAATTTTACTGACGTCCATGTAGTAAACAATAATCAAATTATTCCTGGGCATACTCAATATTTCAGGTGTAACAAGAAGAGCAATCAGGTCATTCGGATTCAGGACCCTATTGACGATGGTTCCTGAAAACGAGGATGGAGCAGGATATAATTGATCCTGAGGGCGGAGGGTAAAGATTCTCACGGAGGTCCACAACTTCCTCTGGCTGAGGGTCGCCTCCTTGGAATACCAATGGATCCACTATGGAGGCCTACTGATGAGCTCCTGTGTCCTTCGTCCTAATCCTGCTTATTCTCAGTCTTAGTACACATAATTGAGTAATGGCACCGAGCTTTCTGTTGATTATCGTTTTAGACCGATAAAAGTATCTGGATACCCGATGGGCGTAATGCTCGCCTTCAAATGTGAAGTTCGCTGGTTCGATTTCAACCGTTACAGATTCTTGACCACGATTCCAATTGACATTTGATTTGGCTACCAATTAATGATGCTGCTAAGAAAAGGTTGATCCGATATGGTAACAAGGACATAGTCTAATCCCCCCGTTGAAAAAAACGAAAAAAATCCGAAGGTGTAAATA